AATACATATTATTTTCTCTCTCTTTCTACTATTCTAACATGGTATCAGAGGTAGGTTAAGAATCTAGTAATTTTGCTTCATCGGCGGGCGGTAGCCTCGCCTTGGCCGCCTGTCGGACTTCAACCCATTCCGTTGCTATATTCTCCTTTCAGTATCGCTTCATGATGATTTTTTCTTATATCCGCTAATTTATTCATACCCGAAATATCTCTATCCTATTTTTTTACTCGCAATTTACTTTTTTTTTTTTTTTTTTGTGTGTGTGCTTCTGTTCCACTTTGTCTTTCCCTCTGCTTCAACCTCAAATAAGTTTCTATATTCAAACTTATTTGAGTTTGAGGGGAGGTATTATACCTATATCATGGTGAACATGGTTATACACTATGCAAACCACCTAAGTTGCCTTCTTTTGGGGCACTCTCTAAGTCATCTCCTTGGCGCACAACCCAAGCTGTCCCTTTTGGCCCACAATCCAAGCGAACCACCCAAGCTGCCCCCTTTGATGCACCGCCCAAGCCGCCCCCTTTGGCGCATAATCCAAGATGCCCTCTCTAGCTCATAACCCAAGCCGCCCCCTTGGGCGCACAATCCAAGCCGCCTCCTGGCGTACTCAGTTATCTGTTGGTATCATCGTTCAACACCACATCATAAGTTATGTGTGTGCCACGCTTACTGGTTCAACATCAAGTTCTCTACATCAGTCCGGCATGACTCCTTTAAACTGTCCCGACATTGATTCCGGTTAGCTTCTCCATGAGTCCGGCATGACCCCTTCAAACTGTCCCGACATTGATTCCGGTTAGCTCCTACATCGATAGAGCATGACCCCTTCAAACTATCCTGACATTGATTTTGGTTAGCCAATATCTACAATGGTCCGGCATGACCTTAAATTATCCTAGCATTAGTTTCATCAAGTTCCTACAATGGTCCGACACAACCATAAACTGTCTCTTGACTTTAGTTCTGGCTTCTAATCTATTTCAAACGCCCTTGCGCTCCAGTTCGAATTTTGCAATCTATTTGTCTTTTGTTTTATTTAGTTTTATTTCATATTTTAGTTTCTCTCTCCAAACTCAAGATGTTTATCCTCCTTGAATTTGAAGGGGAATATTAATGTATATGTGGTATTCCTAGATATATTAGGTATTGATTTTCTAGAAATATTTAGGAATAATCATAATTAGGTTTCTTGAAGGATACGCTTTCTCATAATTATGTTTCAAGCAGAATACTATTTCTTAGCCTATATATAGAGGTCTTCTATTGTATAAAATTAATTAATTCATTTAATACAATACATATTATTTTCTCTCTCTTTCTACTATTCTAACAATTCCAAACAACTCTTATTATTTGTACCCTCAATATACCTCCTCTTCCCCTTCGCACGACTACCGTCAACATGTTTCGGAAGCAAACAAGTAAGATAGATAGCGTACGCGGGTGCTCATCCTACTTGCTTGAGGACCACACAAAAACCAAAGAGCAAGTTATTTAACGGACAAATTGAGGTTAGCTGTACTGACTAAAAAAAAAAAAAAAAAAATTTGAAGTTTGTTGGAGACTCTTGGAATTATCAGGAAACAAATAGTAGTATAAATTGGAAGAATTATTGATCAGTTGGACAGGCAAAAAAAAAACCCGGCCCCGTCCCCGAGCCCCGCCCCGTTTCCTCCCCGAAATAAAGCACCTTTATGCACCCACTATCTATTTTTACATATATATTTAATATAACCCTTCATTACCTCACATATTTGCATCTATCTCATAGTCAGACCTGGATCACTCTCTCTCCCTCTCAGACCTCTGTCTCTCTCTCTCCCTCAGACCTCTGTCTGTCTCTCTCTCTCTCAGACCTCTCTCTCTCTCGAAGTTGATCACAGATTCACAGTTCCTCTCCCTCTCTCTCACCCGTTGCTCCACCCCACCACCGCCTCTCGAAGTCGATGGCATCCCCCTCACTCACTCACGGACTCACGCAGACTCAGAACAGATCTGAAGAAACCGATCTGAACAGATCTGAAGCGAGGAAGCCCTCCGTCGATCCACCACCGCCACTCGTAGTCGATCGCATCTCTCTCTCTCTCTTACGATATATATATATATATATATATCTGTTGTTGAACACTTTTTCTTTTTTTTTTTAAGTTGTTATATATATGTTGTTGATTGATGATTGTTGTGATCTGAAAAGTTGTTGTTGTGTGTGTGTGTTGAACTTGAACAGATCTGTTGTTCGTCCATTATACAGATTTATTTTTATTTTTTATTTTTTTTGTTGAACAGATCTGCTAGGGATGTTTCGGGGTCGGGGAAACCCGATCCCCGTTAGGGGACGGGGACGGGGGAGGTGATGGGTTCCCCGCCGGGGATCGGGGGCGGGGACGGGAATTTTTCTACCTTCGGGGATCAGAGACGGGGAGTGTCATCCCCGGCCCCGCCCCGACCCGTTGCCATTCCTATTTGTACCCTCAATATACCTCCTCTTCCCCTTCGCACGACTACCGTCAACATGTTTCGGAAGAAAACAAGTAAGATAGATAGCGTACGCGGGTGCTCATCCTACTTGCTTGAGGACCACACAAAAACCAAAGAGCAAGTTATAACGGACAAATTGAGGTTAGCTGTACTGACTAAAAAAATAAAAATAAAAATTTGAAGTTTGTTGGAGACTCTTGGAATTATCAGGAAACAAATAGTAGTATAAATTGGAAGAATTATTGATCAGTTGGACAGGCAAAAAAAAAAATTATATAAATATAAAAAGATATTTCATAACTTTTCACTTACACCTCACTACAAAATCACTTGCATCTTTTATATTTTTTAAAAAATATTTCAGTACTCCATTGTTTATTCCAAATAACAAGAAAACAAAAAGGCACTTCTCATTCCTTTCCTACTACTGTCAATAATTTTTATACTACAAATTGTCGTGGTTTTATGAGGCATCTCTCCAAGCATATTGTGCTTGTTTGGTGCAACTTAAAAGCTGCTTATTTCAGTTTTTAGTTTAATTTAATCTATTTTGATGTGTTTAGTTTAGGTTAACAATGCAGCTTATAACTTTTTATAAGTCAGAAATCAGCTTATTCTTTAAGTGGGGTAAGAGATGCTTAATTTATAAGTCAGAAATCAGCTTATGTTCATAGTTATAAGTTATAAGCTGTTAAGGCATAAGTTATAAGCACTTTCCTACAGCTCTACCAAACAGGGCCATTGTTGAATCCTTAGAGTTTACTATGGATTCTTTTTTAATAATTCAAACAATTTAATGTGTAAATCTCATTGAGTATTTTATATTTGTAAAAAATTACGTTAATCGGATATCGATAATTCTTGATCGAAACATATGTTTGTCAATAATTTATTTTTAAAATCATATTTAATATTAACAAAAATGTGTTCCAATCAAGGGACTACAATGAGTGATCAATATGATTTTTTGTAGATATAAAGTACTTAACAAGCTGTATACATTGAACGATTCGAATTATCGAAACGGGACCCGTAGTAAACCTCACAAGCCCAACACCATGTTTCAATCCATTGTATAGACTGGAGAGAAATCTCTCCCAACAATATATATTAACATTTATCACAAAAATATATATAGTGCATATAGAAGGAAAATAGTATTGTGTATTGGAGGAAAATGAATTTGTCCATACAATTTTTTTAGTGTGTGACCATTATATAAAATATGATTAACTCAAATATATGAATTTCATATATGAAAATGTAACGTCTCTACCTAAAATAATAGTTCCTATTATTTGTTACCATTCAAAATATCTGTATTTATTCACATAATTAAAGAGTGTGTTCCCTCTCTTAATATGATGGGTATATTTAAAAAATAAATTATAAATACATTCAATAAAATTTATTTAAAATACAAATTGTTCCTATGATTTAAAAAATTATAAATATCTCATTATCAGAATTTTATATTGAATAGAATTAACTAAAAAAATAAAATTTCTAATTGCTCTTTTATACAATAATAAAATTATCTAAATTATTAATTGATATAAATTTCTAATATCATTAAAAAAATATTGATTGACTTGATTTATTAATAAAATAGGTTATTTATGAAATTAAAAATTTCAAAGTGTGAAATATAATTTTCAAAATCACATGGAGTAAATTTTATTTTAATCAAATCTCATGAGATATATTTACAATTTGTGTTGGGCTTCTCTCATGTTAGTATCTCAACATGAGATAACTTGAACGGCCTGTAGGACTCACCATGGTTTTCATTTTAATAATCTGAATTATTCATTTTGTAGGACTTTCAATTTATATTTTCTATGAAAAAATTTAGGACGATTCGATAATTGTAACATTTTTATTTTGTCACATTTGTCTCTAAAAAAATAGATGGTCAATTTCAAAAATATATTTGCCATTTATTTTTTTGGAGACAAATGTAATAAAATAAAAAAATTATGATTACTAGATCTAACTATTTTTTTTTATATATAGATTTTATACGATCCTATAAAATAAATGATTTAAATCATTAAAATTGAACCGTAATAAGACATATGCCTCTCGAGTTCTCTTCCCTCACGGAGCAAGGATCCTCTAGAGTTTTTTTTTCCTAAAGTTTCCTAGAATGGTGCATTGTGTGGTTGAGATTTAATGACAAGTCACATCAATTTTTTAGTATTAAATCTCAACCACACAATACACCACTTTAAAAAAAACTTAAAAAAAATCAAACCCAATAAATAAAAATAAATAAATGAGTGAACTTGAAAGTTTTGTGTGTCCCTTGAATGCCACGTTTTGTGGAAAAAGTTACCACACATAGAGAGAGGCACTTGTCCTTGGACTTGGAAGTCATAACGCAGACGAAAGAAAGAAGACCTTCTGCTAATTTTTCCCAACTGTTTTAACTACTTTTGAAAATTGAAACACTCTCAAATCTCTTCCCAAATTTTCACCTAAGTTTCTTAATCTCCCAACTGTCTCTTCTACTCTCTCTCTCTCTCTCTCTCTCTCTCATGGATTGGGTACTAGCTTCACACAAACTACAGGGGACTCTAGAAGAAAGAGACACAAACAAAACAGAGAGAGATGCCCAATTAATTTAGCCTTTAGAGAGCTCAACAACCTCTTTGAACCTTCAAAGCTGCTGTATAGACGCATCCAACACAACACATTTCACAATGTCTTTAAATCTCTCACCCAACCCTTCATTATTATCCCATCTCTTTCTCTCTCTCTCTCTCTCTCAAAACCCATGTACCACAATATGTGGAACTCCTCTGCAACTATGTTTGCTAGAACAGGGGAAAACGGAGGCTGCGATGACGAGGAGGCTCTTCGGTGGGCTGCTCTGCAGAGATCTCCGACCTATGTTCAAGCTCGGACCTCGTTTTTTCGGAACATTGCCGGAGAAATATCGGTGGTTGATGTTGGTAATCTCGAAGTTCAAGAGAAAACCTTAGTCTTGGATAAGTTGGTTAGTGCGGTTAATGATGATATAGAGTTGTTCTTCAATAGAATCAAGCGAAGATTCAATGCGTAAGTTTGATTATCGAAAACCTTAGTCTTGGATAAGTTGGTTCTCCATTTCTGTTCATGAATTGTGCAGTGTTTTTTTGGGTTTCCAAAACAGTGAAAAATTCTACCACTTTGGAGAGCATTCCCAGATCATTTTACTTTCCATTCACAAAACATAATGATAACCCTGTTAGTAATGATATAGAAACAGCAAATATCTCAGTCCCTTTTGGACATTTTAACCGCTGAGGTTGGCCGAGTGGTAAGGAGTCGGGGTATTATGCCCTAGGTCCTGAGTTCCACTCCCCTCTGGGCCAGCCGTCTGGCCTATAGGTTGGTAGGACAAGCCTTCCAAGCCTGGACGAATCATACCTAGTGTCTGAAGTGTGAGTTCGAATCCTCACTTCTATTTCAGTCCACAACTTATTACTATATGGTTGAGTAGCCATATTATGTAGCACCATCAAAGGTGACCTCTCGGGCTTCCTCTAGGGTCTAGCCTTGAAGGTTACCCCTCCGTGGTTTGACCCTTTTTTAGAAACAAAAGATTATGAATAATGATGTGACAAATTTAGGTCTTATACAAACAGAAACAATTATTTGGAAATTCTATAGATAATGATTTGACAGATCAAGGTCGTGTCATTGTTACATTATTCTGATTGGATATTCTGTATAAAATTTTTGGAAGAATAGGTTGTCCTAAACTTTTATATAGATTATTGGACCAAAGTAGAATCAATTTCTTCATAGCCCATAATTATCCTTTTGGTAATTTCTAGCATGCATTCTTTTGAATATGTGTTTGCACTTATATTCAGTGATACCATATTTGGGACAATTAGGAAATTGATGGGTAGTATGATATATTGATTACCTGATGGCCTATAATAATCTCAATCTTCATCACAATTACTTGATTTAGTGCTCTGCAAAGATCATTGTGCATGATTGGAGCTCCTAAGGTCTATTTTAAAAAATTTACCCCAAAACAGATTGATTGGGTCGTCTTTATTTTAAGTCTCCTAATAACACAGGATTTTAGATTCTTGGATCAATTGAAATTTTTTAAGAGAGAATTTTTCAATCAAACACCAAGTGGGGAACTAGACTTACATGATCTACCATTAATGACCCTGTATTATGTGTAGTTATTGTTGTTGAAATTGTTACAATAGTATAGTTGCCTTAGTAACTATATCGGAGTGACTCGTGTGCTCTTGGTACTTGGTGTTCTTGACATAGTTCTTTTTCCTTTCAAAATCAAATGTTTGATTTCCTATTCAAAATTACCCATTCCCCACATGATAAATATGTGTTGAGATTGAGACTGGTGAGATACAATAATTATCACAAGAGACACTTATGTGGTCATATAGGATACATCCATACGGAAAACATGGAAACTAAATATTTGATTCCATGATTTTATAAATCAAACTCAAAATGTTGACTCTATAGTGATGTGGGCAGACCATGGGCCATCTAGAATCACGGTACACACAAAGATGGCACCACACTACCAAAGGTGGAGAGGGAAGAGCTGAAACAACCTTAGTAGAGAATGGCCATGGAGGGGGACACCTCTCATCAAGGCGGGGAGAGTGACATCTCCTCAAGGATGTGTCTCTGCATGGAGGTAGAGACCATTTACAGGAGGGTTGGGCCATGGAGGCTAGCTCATCCTCTAGTGTCGTGCCAAGGGTTATAGTAGGTAGGTGTGATCAACCTTACTCGGTGTGAAGGTGTGAGAATGGAGTCAAGTGGAGCTTTGGTGAGGCGCGGCGAACGAGCCGTCTAGTGGTGAGGTAGACTAGGTGTTGAGTCGAGGCCATAATGCGAGCAAGGCTCATGCCTTGTGATGTGGAGCCTACTCGTTCTTGGTGTGATGTGGCACGTCAAGTGCCAGCTTCCGAGTGATGGAAGCTATGGAAAGTTTAGGTAAGGCCCAATCAACCTGCTCTGATACCATATAGAAAAAATGGAGTGGGGACTATATTGAATTTTTGAAATGATCACAAGAGACACTTATGTGGGTTCATATAGGATACAAAAACATAGAACACATGGAAACTAAATGTTTTGATTCCATGATTCAAACTCATTTCCCATAAGGTAATATGAACTATCAATTGCTATAAGTTCTTTGGTTTGCCTTCCGTATTTGTGTTGCAAACATTGCGTCCGATGTTGAAAACCACATTGAATATCAAATTTACGGTCTCTTTCTTTCCTTTTTTTTTTTTTTCCCTTTTTCTTAAATTTTAATTGATTTCTTTCTTTTGATTTTCTTTTGAGCTGAAGCTGTTGCTATGGCCGTGTGTCTTTTTATTTTTTTCTTTTGAAATTGTAGAGTTCATTTGGAATTCCCAAAAGTTGAGGTTCGGTTTCAGGACCTGTGTGTCGATGCTTTTGTCCATGTTGGAAGCAGAGCACTGCCCACTATTCCCAATTTCATTTTTAACATGACTGAGGTAAGTTTTTTTTTTTTTTTTTCTTTCGTCCTTAACTATTTTCCAGCTATAGTCTCATTCTGTATTATGAAATTCTTACTATGTTTCTGTTCCTAAAAAATTGGAAAAGACTTTCTTGGGGAAGTTGAGGATTTTTCCGGGCAGAAGAAAGAAATTGTCAATTTTAAACAACATCAGTGGTATTATTAGGCCTTCCAGGTATTGTTTCAACTTTCTGCTTCTCTTCCTTTTGAATATGCAAGTTTCTATAGTGATGCTTTAATGTTTTGTATTTTTTAACTATTATTATTTTTTTATTTTTTTCTAGATTGACTTTGCTTTTGGGTCCTCCAAGCTCTGGTAAGACAACATTTCTTTTGTCCCTTGCTGGACGGCCTGGACCTGGTCTGCAGGTATCAAGAATATCTTGTGCGTGTTGCTTATTGTTAAATCCTTGCATGTATTATTCATAGTCAAAGTAAGGATGAATTTGAGTAGGGAGCCTCTAAACTTTAAACTATTGGCAAGTACCCCATTTTGGAGCTGATATGTGGGTTTGCATTTTTTTTTTTCACTCACCCCACAATAAGTTTGGTTGTATTTTGCACATAGTAACTGACATTACAGTTCTAAGATTCTTCTCTTTTTTTTTTTTCCCTTCTTTTATTTCTTTTTCAAGGAAGAAAAAGAAAAAGGTTACACAAATCACATGGCAAGTATGTTTAGGGTGAGGAACGATTCTGAACTGTGAACTTTCAAAATGCAATGAGCTCAGATTTGTTTGATGCATATAGGGGCTTGAACTTAAATATGAAATATGAACATAAATACACGTACAAATGCAGAAAAAACATGTTAACATATATTCCTCTTGAATTCTTTGGTTTACTTCACATTAATGTGGTTGAGTTACTTTTAAGATGTCAGGGAGAATTACATACAATGGACACGATCTGAAGGAGTTTGTTCCCCAGAGAACTTCTGCTTATGTCAGCCAGCAGGATTGGCATATGGCAGAGATGACAGTAAGAGAAACTCTTGAGTTCTCAGGACGTTGTCAGGGCGTTGGATTTAAGCATGGTAAGTTCTGGGACATCATCTTTTATTGTGTGCCCTCTTTATCTGCACCCTGGTTTTACTTGTTTCTGATGCAATCTTGTTTGTGAAATATGAATAACTGACACAGATATGCTTTCGGAACTTTTGAAAAGAGAGAAGCAAAACAGGGTAATTCCTGATGAAGAACTTGATATATTTATTAAGGTACGTTCCATTCTGTTTTGTGTGCGCGCAAATAGACAGTGTGTTTAAAGAGATGGTTTCTGTAGCGATAATAAAATGATTATTTTCCTTCTTTAGGCATTAGCACTCGGAGAACATAAAACTCTGGTTGTGGAGTACATTATGAAGGTATACTTTTGAATGATGTAAATTTTATATTACTTCTCATGGCAAATAATGTCTATATTGCAAGGCCTCTGCTAGTGTAATTGATGTAGACGAGATAGGAGAAGAGAGGGAGAGAAACGCACAATAGCCCACGGCCTTTTCTCAAACTCAATATCTAATTATCATACTGATCGAAAGCTTAGTACATACAGGCTATTAACCCTAATTGAAATAGGAAACTATCCTTATTACTATTTGGAAACAAGGTCAGAATATCTTACTAATTATATATTAAAACTAACTAAATACCAATAATAATAATCTACCAATGACATTTATGAGACCAAAAGGTCTTCAGGTCCATGGGCTTCACCCTAGACTTCCAAATCCGATAACGGGCCTCCAACCAGTCAATGGCTATGCCATCAATATTCTTTGAATAATTCTATATTGCAAGCCATTAAACTAGCAGTTGTAGTTTTCCTTTGTAATTCTTGCCATTCTTCCATTTGAACTTCCTAGTGCTTAGTCATAACCCAAAAACTAAAAAACTCTGGCAATTTTGGAACTCTCATTCTTCCCACTACACATAAAACGAATTATTTAAGATTGAATTACACATCTTTTACTTTCATAATAATTAATTATATTCATGAAAATATCATTGCATATATAGTTCATGCTACATTGTGCATGGAAAAAGTTTTGTGCATTTTTTAAAATAGTCCTGAACTGTTTTTACAAAGATTTTAGGATTAGACATTTGCGAGGACACATTGGTGGGGGATGACATGCTTAAAGGAATCTCCGGAGGCCAAAAGAAGCGTCTTACTACTGGTAACTAGTCTCTCCATTGATTCAATTGATATAACTTGCTTACTTTCCAGTTTGGCCAAGATTCCAACAAATGCAAATTATGTGCTTGGCAGGTGAATTGCTAGTCGGTCCATCTAGAGTACTTTTCATGGATGAGATATCAACTGGACTTGATAGTTCAACTACTCATCAAATAATCAAATATCTTAGATATGCAACTCATGCTCTTGATGAGACCACAGTCGTCTCCCTTCTACAACCAGATCCCGAGACTTATGAGCTGTTTGACGATATTATTCTTTTGTCTGAGGGACAGATCGTATATCAAGGACCCCGTGAGGCTGCTCTTGAATTCTTTACACATATGGGGTTTCAGTGTCCAGATAGAAAAAATGTGGCTGATTTTTTGCAGGAAGTACGTGTGTGGATGTGGAACTTTACACTTGATCATATGTTTTACCAAGGTATAATCTCAAATTATTATTAATATATATTTTTTTGCCTCTATTTTTTTTATGTTTATGACAGGTATTATCAGAAAAGGATCAAGAACAGTATTGGTTCCTCGATAGCCACTACCAGTATATACCCGTGGCAAGGTTTGCAGAAGCTTTTCAATCATTTTGCGTGGGCAGTGCTTTGTCACAAGATCTAGCTGTTCCCTATGATAGACGTTATAATCATCCGGCAGCCCTGTCAACTTCTACCTATGGTGTGAAGAGGACAGAGCTTCTCAAGATCAGCTTTTCCTGGCAGATGTTGCTGATGAAACGGAATTCATTCGTTTATATCTTTAAATTCGTGCAGGTAACCTTCTGGGACGCTGTTTATTATCGTAACTGTAAACTTTAAATTTATTCTGGGAACATGTAATGATTACAAACCAAGTTTCTCAAGTTAAGAAGAATGGGCACGTTGACACATAAATTTTTAAAAATTGTAGAGCGCAGCACTTAGAGGAGACGTGCAAAATATATGGTTTTATATATTTATTATATGCCATATATAAGGATAGACAATTGTTATATGTCATGTATATAAATATTTAATTCAAAGATAATAATAAAATGCAATGTAACACTAATTTCTGAAGTCTAAATAAGAAGAATAAATATAAATTTATATTAACTTTCTTTTTATCGTTGAATTTCATGTTGTTTTTTCAAACTTGTAATATGTTTCATGTGCGTCTAAGCGTGTTTTCTAAGTGTTTGAAGGGTGTCCGAGTCAAGAAATTTTATAAAAAAAATAAAAGTACATTTTTGGATGTGTGTCTAACAAGTGTTGAGAAGTGTCCAATGAGTTATGACACAATACCTTCTTAGAAGTGTCTTGGCTTATTTGTGAAAGGCATCACTTGGATGAAAGTAGGATTAACCAAATTGATTCAAATTTTGTACCAGAACAAAGAGTTATAAAATGCTGATACAGGAGCACTCCACTGTATTTTGCAGCTTCTGTTGATTGTTGTGATCATGATGACTGTATTTTTCCGAACAACAATGCATCATGATACATTGGTTGATGGAGGAATCTATCTGGGTGCACTCTACTTTGCTATGGTTATGATTCTTTTCAATGGCTTCATGGAGGTCCCAATGTTGATAGCGAAACTTCCCGTTCTTTACAAACACCGGGATTTACTCTTCTATCCTTGTTGGGTTTATACTCTTCCTTCTTGGGTTTTGAGTATTCCAGCTTCACTTGTCGAGTCTGCCATCTGGGTGGCAGCTACATACTATGTGGTCGGGTTTGATCCTCAAATAACTAGGTAAATTTTTCTCCTTTTCTCAGAGAAATTTCATCATCCTTTAATGTTAAAATTTTCTTTTGGGAGTCCGACTGAGATGTTTTGATTTTCTTACTTAATGATCTGCAGATGCTTTAAGCAGTTTATGCTATATTTCTTTCTGCACCAGATGTCAATAGCTCTTTTCCGTGTGATGGCTTCACTTGGCCGCAACATGATAGTTGCCAACACCTTTGGATCATTTGCATTGTTGGTTGTCATGGCTCTTGGAGGATTTATACTCTCCAGAGGTTAAACTTAGAACTTTTGTGTGTTTACAGGTTTGATTTCACTTAGTTTATGCACTTAAAACTTTATTTCTATGACAGACAGCATTCCATCTTGGTGGATCTGGGGTTACTGGTTTTCCCCTTTGATGTATGCTCAAAATGCTGCTTCTGTGAATGAATTTCTTGGGCATTCATGGGACAAGGTAATTTAAACTCAGCCAAACAGGTCTTAATTGTTTCTGATTTATAAAAAAACAAAGAGAAATAAGCACTAGATGCTTAAATGAGTATGGACGCTGCAAAAAATATATATAAATTTTTGGGATATACAATTCCAATCTCACCATTCTGCCCTGTGATGTGAAGCTTCATATGGTATAAATAAACTGTTGATAACTTAAGTTGCTTTGAAACGTCATATGACCTTTGAAAATCCAGAAATTAATACATTGCATTATACATTTGTTCATAAGCTAACTCGAATGAACCCACATCACCAGCAAGGTTGGCATCCTTGATAGCTGATCTAAAAACTTTAACTCGATGACAATTTATGTGGCCCATTGGAGAGAGCTTGAATGAGCCATACAAGCTACTTTTTAACAGCCTTTATTTAATCGATGATCTCCAATAGACCTGTTGATTTTGTTATGAGAAATTGGAGCTTCTTTTAACTATTTTTTCCTTCTCTTTTATGGTATGTAGACAGCTGGGAAATACACAGCTTTGAATTTGGGCGAGATGTTACTGAAAGCCCGCAGCTTATTTCCTGAGAGCTATTGGTTTTGGATTGGTGTGGGCGCTTTGCTTGGTTATACAATTTTGTTCAACATCCTCTTCACACTTGCTTTGACTTACCTCAACCGTAAGCCCTATCTCAATAAATATTTCCTAACACACTGTTTCATAGATGGAGAAGTCAATTCAGGATTATGGTTCCGGCACTGGGAAATGGCCTTCTTTAATAGATTTTTACATCATTGATGACAAATTTTTAATTATCAAAGAAAATAGAAAATTTTGTGTTCCCAAAAAATGCGATACCTTAGGCTTGAATTCCTTTTCAATATAACTTGCCAACCAATGAGCTTATTGATAATTGTAAGAAAACAAGTCAAATAATCCTTTCCTATTTGATACAGCCCTTGGAAATCATCAAGCAGTTGTTTCCAAGGAAAAGCTCCAACGCAAAGCAAAGAAAACCGTGAGCGAATGCATTATTGAGCTGCAAGAATATTTGCAACATTCACACTCGTATACAGGTTTGTCCAGAAGCTTCTATCTTTTGTCTTTTATATTAATTCTCTTGAGTTAAATTAGAAGTTGTAAATCTTTTTTTGTCTTCTTGTTGTAGGAGATATTAGAAGGAAGAGAGGCATGGTTCTTCCATTTCAACCTCTTTCCATGACTTTCAACAATCTTAGTTACTATGTGGATGTCCCTGTGGTACGTCAGTTTTCATCTCTGGTTTATTATATAATTCCATGACTTATCTTCCTGACACATTCTTTGCTATCGCTCGATGCTCACATATTTGTATTGTTGCAGGAATTGAAGAAGCAGGGTGTAATAGTAGACAGGCTGCAGCTGTTAGTTAACATTACTGGAGCATTTCGGCCAGGTGTGCTTACCGCATTGGTTGGTGTCAGTGGTGCTGGTAAAACTACTCTAATGGATGTTCTAGCTGGTAGAAAAACCGGTGGAACTATTGAAGGGACCATACATATTTCTGGGTACCCTAAAAAGCAAGAAACATTTGCAAGGATAGCTGGCTATTGTGAACAGAATGATATTCACTCTCCGTGTTTGACAGTTCGTGAATCGCTCATATTTTCTGCTTTGCTGCGGTTACCTTCTCATGTTGACTCGCGAACGCAAAAGGTAATGACTAATTACTAGTTTGTGTTTGCATATATATAGAGCTTTGTACTTGGGTTTTATAGATTGACTTATAATTATCATTTTGCAGGAATTTGTGGATGAGATAATGAAACTTGTAGAGCTCACTCCATTAAGCGAAGCTTTAGTTGGTTTACCGGGAGTGGATGGGTTATCGACAGAGCAAAGAAAAAGGCTGACCATTGCTGTCGAGCTTGTTGCCAATCCTTCCATTGTCTTCATGGATGAACCAACTTCAGGACTCGATGCCAGAAGTGCTGCTATTGTCATGAGAACCGTGAGGAATATTGTCAACACAGGGCGGACAATTGTTTGCACGATTCACCAGCCCAGCATCGATATCTTTGAATCCTTTGACGAGGTTTCTCCCTCTAATTCCCATAGATTTTCAAAAGAAGGATTTCATTTATTTATTTTTTCCAATATTGAAATCAAATATTTGCTGAGTTAGTTAAAACTGGACACCAGCAGATTTGGATACACAGAAAATTCACTATTGGTTGGCAAAATGAAGAATTGCTTTAAAATTCAACATTGGTTTGCAAAATGAAAAAAAAATGCTTCAACAAAGAAATGTTTTCAAATAAATGTTGACCTTCTGTATATCCTCACCTATGCATGTGTGTGCAGACATATGCATATAGTTATGAACTATGCTTTTCCATAAATTTCTATGATTATATTTAGTGAAACCTTAACTTTAGTTTCATTTATGTATCTTTCAACATAGAAAAGCCTTGTAATTTTTCTATGATGCCTGATCATTCTTCCTTTTCTGTTATCGCAGCTTCTACTCATGAAACGTGGAGGGAAGCTAATCTATGCCGGTCCACTGGGCACACAGTCTTCTAAACTTATTCAGTTTTTTGAGGTGGGCTTGTGCTTCTTTAATCTTGAGTTTATTTTTGAAATTCGATGACAAGTTCCATTCATCATATCACTGACTTTTTCTTTTTTTTTTTTGATTTATTTTTTCATTTTCCTAGGCAGTTCAAGCAGTCCCAAAGATCAGATATGGGTATAACCCTGCTACTTGGATTCTAGAGATCTCTTCTCCAGCAGAAGAAACCCGACTTGGTGTGGATTTTGCAGAAGTTTATCAGAAATCAAGTTTATTTCAGTATGTATATATAAATTTCTGTTTTGGCAGAGGAATTACCATATCAATGCGTTTTTCTTTTTCTTTTCTTTTTTTTGGTGCTTCATTCATATGCCATTATCTGCTGTTTCAGGAGAAATAAAGAACTTGTGGAAGAGTTAAGCAAACCAAATACGGATACAAGAGATTTAATCTTCCCATCAAAATATTCTCTATCATTTTTTTCCCAGTTCCTAGCGTGTCTTTGGAAGCAAAACCTGTCATACTGGAGGAATCCACAGTACACTGCTGTACGCTTCTTTTACACGGTCATCATATCGTTGATGTTTGGTACAATAAGCTGGAAATTTGGATCTAAAAGGTTTTGCAACTAAAACTTCTCTCAATTGTTTCAGTCACTGTTGCCATTTCTGATACTGACTGAATTATGATTATTAACAAAGTATATGGTTGATGATAGCTAGCTAGCAATTAGGAAAAGAAATCATTAAAGAATGTATCAACAGGATGATTATGTTCATTGAGACTAATAACAATTGATCTAGGTTTTGTTGAGACTCATACGGTGGAAAATTGACTCCCTAGGAATAGACCCTTTATTGCAGGTGTAAAAAGCATGGACACTGGCACGACAATTTTCAAAAATTATAGGACATGACACATGAGAACACACGCAAAATCTATTGTTTCTATATTTATTATATGTCATATATTATTATCTTATTGAAAGATAATAAAAATATAATATAGCATTAATTGATAAAGTTTGAAGAGGATAGGAGGCACTAACAGATATAAATCTACATTATTTTTTGTTTTATTATTGTATCCTCTTAAGCAATTTTGTTCCAACTTATAATGTCTTTCATGCGTGTTTAAGTGATGTGCATCTATGTTCTTCGAACATGGACACACCACCATCTTAGAAATGTTTATGTTTTAGGCCAACTGAAAAGATCTGCATATGTTCAACACACTAACCTCTACCCACTTATTTTTTTTCTAGCTTCCCCCCTTCTATTCCCTTCATATTTGACCTTTTATGTTCTTATGATCTATGAATTATCATTCCTTCTGATTATTTTCTGTTTTACTTGTTTCCACAGGGACAACCAGCAGGATATCTTCAATGCAATGGGATCCATGTATACAGCAGTACTATTCATGGGAATCACAAACGCCACGGCCGTACAACCCGTTGTATATGTTGAAAGGTTTGTTTCATATCGAGAAAGAGCAGCAGGGATGTACTCGGCTCTAACATTTGCATTCGCACAGGTCTGCATTGTCGCCTTCTCTTCTGTTTTTCTTGCTTTATTTCATAGAATTTCTCAGTATCCAAACAGTAAGCACTCAAATTTCACTAAATTCTTTTTTGGGCAGGTTGTCATCGAGTTCCCTTATGTGCTTGTACAGTCAGTTATTTACAGTGCTATCTTCTACTTCATGGCTTCTTTCGAGTGGAGCCCTTTGAAGTTTGTTTGGTACTTGTACTTCATGTATTTCACCTTGTTATACTTCACCTTCTTCGGAATGATGACTATTTCTGTCACGCCCAACCATAACGTTGCTGCAATCCTTGCTGCTCCGTTTTACATGATGTGGAACCTTTTCAGCGGATTCATGATTCCTCGAATGGTAATGTACACCCTAAAATGTAACCATTGTCATTGGGATGCTATTGAAATTGGACGCTTCAAGGCCTGTTTGGTAACACTTCTGTTTTTCTTGTTTTTTGAAACAAAACAATGAGACGTTCAAAGACACCAATCATTTTCAAATTGCTTTCATCTTTGAGCAAAAATAGTGTTTTGAAAATTTGAAAACAATTTTTTTGTGTTTCATAAATATTAAAAGGTGGGTTGATTATTGAAATTTTTTCCAAAAATAGTTTTCGGAAACAGTTCACCAAACAAGTTCTCTGCGTTTTTGGGAAAAGGAAAACCGAAGGTATAAAGTGAAAACACAACCACAGGCCATTTAGCTATTATTGCTTGTAATTGAATGGTCCTGGTTGGTAACGCTTTCGTTTTTCTTGTTTTTTGAAACAAAAACAATGAAAAGTTTGAGAACACCAATCGTTTTTATATTGTCTTCATCTTTGTACAAAAATAGTTTTCGAAAATTTGAAACAACTTTTTTGTATTTTATAAAAAGTGGGTTGATATGTAAATAATTTTATACCAAAGATTAGGTGTGTACCCAATCTACCCCTTCTAGAACCCTATCTCAAGGGAACTAAACTGGGTGTATGTTTCATAAAAAGTCGGTTGATTTCATAAAATTTTCTCAAAAACAGTTTTCAAAAACAGAAAGCTTAAACCAAAACACAACCAAACAAGCCCTTAGTTATTTGTGTTGTTTTTGCTTGCAACTGAAGAACTTTTCCCCTATTCAGAGGATCCCAATTTGGTGGAGATGGTATTATTGGGCAAACCCAATAGCTTGGAGCTTGTATGGCCTTTTGACATCCCAATATGGAGAAATGGAAGAAAAATTGAAGCTCTCTGATGGGAGTCAATCAATGCCAATAAAACAGTTTCTTAAGGACCAGTTTGGATACAAATATGAATTCTTGGACTTTGCTGCCATTGCAGTGGCTGGTTTCTGTTTGATCTTTGCAGTGACTTTCGCTTTCGCAATCAAAACCTTCAACTTCCAAAGGAGATGATGATGAAGAGGAAGAAGAGCACAGCATAGTCCACTTCAACTTCTAACATATAAGGTAATTACTACTTGCAATGATCCTGATTTTGATCTTTAGACTGTTGCATTGCTTTGATAATTTGTAATAACATGTAAAGATTGGTCACTGTTGTTATAAATTCCAATTTATATGAATTTGGTTTAGTTCGATAAAAACTTGATATCAACTGTTTTTTTAGTAAGCTGCAAGAATAGAACAGTGGGTGTTTGAAGGAGTACTCCTTGCCATTCTCAGTTCCCCAGCTCATAGTAGGGCTCCAATCCCGGCCACACCCCCTTCCCCTTAAAAATTACAGCAAAAGTTCTTAGAAAGAAAAAAAATAGAGAGCGAGAAATGGTCCAATTTTCCAAGACATCCATTATTAGCTGGTAAAAAAAAAAAAACTAGCCTTCCCAATTTATGATTATAGTTATCATTCATTTGTATGCATCTACAAGCTCTGCCACTAATACATGCATCCATAAACACGAAAAAATTTCAAGTTTTGTTAAGCGTGTTGGTTCCTTGAATTGTAAACATAAAACGAAAACTAATGTTGCGTAATGAGATCTTTTGGATGTAATATGCACAATGGCACAACTCAAATTTATGCCAAGACTCAAATTTGCATGATTTTTTTATTTATTTTTTTAAAAAAAAGGCATACAATTACTATCTTGTCTTAGCATTGATGAATAACAAAAAATCTTATGTTGTTGTGTGCAGCTTTTCCAGTTTTATTGTAGAAGAAGAAAGGAATATGAATTATATGTGCTTTCATAAAGAGCTGAGAACAGAATTACTCAGTGGAGATTTACATAAGGTTTCAAAGGACTTTAAATTATATTACACATATCACATAGAGAAGTCTAATTTCAATTCAAGTTGTATATGACTGTTTTATACATAAAGAATCATGGAAAGATCTCATCCAGATTTTATTCTATTGCAACTTTTGAGAGTATTTTTTTTTTCTTGTTTCTTTTTAAATTTTGAGATTCTATACTAAAACGTTTAGTGTAACTTATGTTTGCATCAGATGAGGCAAAAATGTAAGTTATAATAAATAATAATTACAATTATTACTATTGAAAAGTTGGTGAGGAGATGCTTATAATGTTTAAATTATCACATTTAAACTTGCCAAAAATTTTACCAAATAAGGCCTAAATCTGGAGCCAAATAAAGTGTGTGGGAGAGTTTGGGGGGAAATTATTTAATTATCCCAGAACACTACGTGGCTATATTTCAAGTCAATCATCAATTATTTAGCCTTCATGTTGTTTCTCCATACCCAACATAAACCGTGAGCCTCTATCCTCTCTACCAATCCAAACCTTATGGAGTACCACGTGTCCATACTTTGAGAATACTGAATAATCACCCGAATTGGGTAGGCTGAAAGAGAGAATAGCAATAACGGGGAAGGGTGGAGAGAGGTTGCCGGCATCGAGGGAGGGGGTTTGTAAAGGGAAGAGAAGAGAGGAAGGAAAGGGAAAATTCATCATTTCACATAATATTTTCACCTATTCATAATTATTTTACATCAGTAGTGTAATTATTTTTTATTTTTATTAATTTTTAATTTTTTTTTTCAATTTTCTCAAATATAAACAAGGGCATTCTTTGTTGTGAAAAACTAATTAGATTTTTATTATTTATTATTTTATTTTTTTAATGAGTGAAAAAATATTCTTACTCACACATGGTAAAATCTGTCAAAAGTTTGTAGTCCAATGCCATTAGTCCAACAATGGAGTAATTATGATTAACGTTGTATGATACTCTTCATATGTAGTAATTTGAATTGAGTCATTATCATTGGAAAAATTATTGCATAAGAGAGCTCCAAACAAATCCTCATAAAGATGATAAAGTCACCATATAGACAGCGGCGGAGCCACGTAAGGACCAGGGGGTCATGTGCCCTCTCTTGATTTTGTGAATTTTTTTTTTTTAAATATAAAGAAAATATTTTAAATAAAAAGAATTACAAAAATATTATTAGAGTGAAATGTCAATGACATTTTAAAAATTATGAAAATAATAATGGTTGTTTTGATTGAAAATGAAGAAACTATTATAAACTATATTATCTATAAAAATTTTAAATGTAACGGTGATGTCATTATTATTGACATGCAAGTATAACTAATCACACTATAAAGATATGAAATTTATTAGATTGTTAGTTACATTTGACATGTAAGATTCACTCTGTATGTGTTTATTTACTATTAGTTGGTGATATCGCATACTAATGATGACGTGATATTGCCATTATATTAAGTTTTTAATCAAATTTTGTATAAAAAAAATAATTTATCATTATATAATTTATTTTAAGGCTTATATCCATATTTTTTTATATTGTCCATGATACACTAGTTATAAATAACATTATTTTTTTGATGTTTCTCAAAATCAATTGTAAAAACTTGCGTGAAATATTTTTGTAAAAATTTTCGATATTGTAATTAATAAGTGCCTCCCTAATTTAACTTTCTGACTCCGTCACTGTATATAGAGCAATCAAAATCAAGAAAGACATCATGTAAGAAGAAAAGGCAAAAGGTCAAATCGGAGGTGGGCTAAAGTAGATGGGGCTAGCACCGGAGGTGCCAAGGGGGCTAAGGGTTGTTAGAAGGAATAGGGGGGGTTGTTGGTGGAGAAAGGGGGTCGAGAAAGAGTTACAGTGAAAACAAAAGGATTGTCACTCATTTTATTTCAGTTAAATTGATATGAGGTAGTAGATTTTGAATTCGATAGATAACAAGTTTAGAGAGTTTATTCGTTAACCCAAAAAAGAGATTACCAATGGAAAAGACCAAAGGAGGGTGGTAGAAGGCAGAGGAGCTTCTAGAGAAAACCATTGTCAAGGCCATGAAAAATGAAGAGTTGGTATTATTAATAAAAAATAAAAAATAAAAAAATATGAAAAGCAATTTGGATGTGCAAGGGTCCAAGATAAATAAGGTAAATTACACTAACCTCTCTTGAGGGTTGAAAAAAATACAATAAGTATTATAATTTTGATATAATTATGCTGACACTGATATGTCTTTTAATAAAGTTATAAGGATAGAAATTAATGCAAATGATATGAAGACGCAAAGATAAATAAAATAAAACATTTATTTATTTAATAAATAAAAAAAAAGACGATAACATTATTTTTTTATACATACACGACTATCAAATTTATGATAAAAAGAAAGTCAGAGTGTATTGTGAATTAAATCTTATGTAGCCTAATACAACTATATTAAATTTATAAAATTAATTTTTTTTATTTATTTTGGAGGTAATTTACCCAAAGAAATAAGTAGAGGCTAATAACACCCAAAACTTATGGGAGGCTCTATTTACACACCACTTTCCCTCTCAAGACAAACCACTTTTAAAGACACACCAAAAATAATTTGCAAAAATAAATATTTTTCTCATCACACATCACAAATTTATATATTTACCGTTACTCACACGGGTCATTCTATTTACACATCATTTTCCCTCTCAAGGCAAACCATTAATTAATTTATTTTTTATTACAATTTTAACCTTAAGTGAAATGGCTATAGAGGACAAGTTATGATACACACCATTTGTGTATTTACTATAAAGGACAAGAATCAATATAATATAATTCATTATTTTCAAACTTGTTCCTTACGTATCTTTTCTGTTAATAATCCAAAAACTCTAAAACCAAAATCAAAAGCCCTTCAACAAATAATCAAAAATATAGTATTATTGAAGATTTTGATTGGATTCAATGAAGGATGCATTTGACAATTCTCATTCGGAAGAATGGAGCAATGAAAAGGTTTTTTTTTTTTGTTGTTTTTGTCTTCGTTTTCGTGTATGAGTGGTAAATCTTTGTTCGGTTAACCAGAGGTGAATAATATATCATTGTTCGACAAATTACAATCGAACAACTTACATATGTTCAACAGACTACAATTGAACAAATTCCATATGTTCAACAGACTACAATCGAACAACTTACATATGTTCAACAGACTACAATCGAACATATTTCATTTGTTCGACTATCTAAAACCGAACAAATGCAATGTGTTCGGATTACTACGGTCAAACTATTTCATTTAATTTAACTCTGCACTTCCGAACAGTTATAATTTTTTTTTTTTTTCAGAACTGTGCATTCGTGGAATGCAGTAATGTTGGATCTGGAGGTCTTGTTGACTACATGAGTCAATTTATTACTAATGAGGTAGTCTCATGTCAAAAATTAGTATTTTTTTCTATTTGTTTTCGAATGTTTAACGTTTAATGACTTTGTTGAGCACCAACACAGTGTTCACCGCTTGAAACTGAGAATGGAGGGGGGAAGATAGACGAAAGTGGGTGTGTGGAGGTGTGTGAGTGAGTGAGGGTAAATATGGGAGTTTGTGTGTATATTGTTGTGGATGGGTGTGTGAGTAAGGACAATTATATAAATTTATGGTGTGTGATGAGCAAAATATATATTTACTAAACAATTAAAGGTGTGCTTTTGGAAGTAGTTTGCCTTGAGATAATTTATGGTGTGTAAATAGAGGCACCCTACTCACATACCCACTCACAACAATATACACACAAAGTTCCATCTTTGCCCCCACACAACCACACACCCCACACCCACGATATTCATCTCCCCCTCCATTCTCTATTCACACCGATGAACACCATTGTTGGAAACACTCATCAAGACGTCGTCGGTGGTGTTGCAGTTGAACAGATGTAAGTTGTTCGATTGTAGTTTGTCGAACATATGTAATTTGTTCAATTGTAGTCTGTTGAACAGATGTAAGTTGTTCGATTGTAGTTTGTCGAACATATGTAATTTGTTCAATTGTAGTCTGTTGAACAAATGTAAGTTGTTCGATTGTAGTTTGTTGAAAAGATGTAAGATGTTCGATTGTAGTTTGCCGAACAATGATATATCATTCACCTCTGGTTAACCGAACAACGATTTACCACTCATAAACGAAAACGAAGACGAAAACAACAAAAAAAAATAACATTTTCATTGCTCCATTGTTCTGAATGAGAATTGTCAGATGCATCCTTCATTGAATCCAATCAAAATCTTCAATAATACTACATTTTTTATTATTTGTTGAAGGGTTTTTGATTTTGGTTTTAGGGTTTTTGGATTCTTGACAGAGAAGACACGTGAGGAACAAATTTGAAATTGATGATTTATATTATATTTGTGTGAGTGAATTTCCGATCACACTGCCAACTTAGTATTTAGTTGGAAAATACTAGCAGAATAGATGACACCTAGCTGACCTGCAACAGAAACAGAAGATTTGGGTGGTGGTTCGTCCACCCAGGGGCACTCCGACGATCAAGTCAGTATATCTCTCAAAGATAATCAATTGCTAAACTCACTGTTCTGAGTATAAATTGCGTACTTTAGACCCATCGGGAGTGCCTCTCTTTTATAGCTAACTCAATCCTTGTCCCAATAGAAACCTTTCTCTAATGGACTTTAGCTCAGTGCTTATCCCGGATTCTCTTATAGATAAAGATAAACTCCTAAGAGCTTTTATCCTTATCCAAGCTGAGTTCCTTTCCCATTCTAGGACTCTTGTCCCTTATCCGCTTATCTTGGATTCCGATATCTTCGGAGATAACCTTGGCCTAGCCGAGATCACCTCGGCGTCATGACCAAGACACGTGGCACCTCGGCTGACACGTCGGCGTCACCTTGGCCACGTGTTGGCACTTAAAAAATATATCCCCACAACTGCCCCCTAGGTTCTATTACCTCGGTATTTCTGAGGTGATGGAACCTATATCGGCACTTCCTGCCAATACATCAGCTTAAAGTTTTTCAGCCGAGATCATCATATAGGCCGACATGTCTCTTTAAGGATTAAAAAATTCCAAGATCTCCTTCACGCGTATGAGCTGTCATGCAAAATAACTCAACCGTTTCAGCCACGCGTCTTCCTTTTACTGGATCGTACTCCGTACGCGCTTGTAAGTCGTCTCGCGCCTGCATGCGCCAT